CTGCAAACTTTGACTCTTCCTTTTCAGCATCACATAAAGTACCAGCACTTGCTGAAGAAGAAATATGTGTGTCCTCACCCCTCCTGTGGTCGGCTCTTCCGGCTCCAGAAGCAGCTCCTGCGACATGCCAAACATCACACAGGTACAGGGTGGTGGGAGATGAGTACAAACGCCTCCTCAGGTCAGTGAACAGAGAGGGGGGGAAAAAGGAAAAGCCTCTAGGATTTCTGGGGAGAGTGAAGCCAAGTCAGGTGGCATAGATTTGCAGGAGCAGCAGGGTATTATTGTTTTCTGGATTATCATCTTTGAGGAAGTGAAAGAAATAAGACTGTAGAGGTTTTTAATTCTCCCCCTGGCAAGTATCACTCAGGGGTTCTGTAGAGGAATAAACATCTGCATATAAAGACTCTACAGATAAAATCTGCTTTATCCTAATTTGCCAGTCCTTCAGTGTTGGTCAGAGTGGATAAGTAGCTCTTAGAAGAGTCTTAATCATGGCTGGCCTCTCCAGATCAGCTGCTGCGCTGTGTTGTGGGGCTCCTCCTTGGCTGTGCCTGCTGGCCTCCCAGAACTCCTAATTCTGCTCCTTCTCGGGCAGCTTCACCTGCACCACGTGGGAGCTGGGAAAGGGAGCAGGTCTGTGGGAGGGCAGTGCTGCAACTGCTGTTTCCTTTCAGATCAAAGGGATTACATCTGCGAGTACTGCGCTCGGGCGTTCAAGAGCTCCCACAACCTGGCGGTGCACAGGATGATCCACACGGGCGAGAAGCCCTTGCAGTGAGTACCCTCTGCCTGTGCCTCGCCCTCCTGCCCCGAGGGACCCCCGACACACCCCTTCTGGGGCTGCACCCAGAGCAGGGGCAGCTCTGAAGTCAGGGCTGGTGTCCCAGCTCTCTAAACATACATGCTGTTGAGCTGCCCCTTGCCCCCAGATCTGGGGCAGATCTGGGATCATAAGCCCTCAGCAAATAAAGCCGTAGCTGGAGCTGCAGTGACATTAGTGAACCCCTGCTTGTTTCCCTGGGCTGCCTCCTTGCTGCTGCTGTCCCCACGAGTGTGTGGGGATGTCCCTTTGTCGTGACCTCCCCCTTCTCCGCTCCCAGGTGTGAGATCTGTGGGTTCACCTGCCGGCAGAAGGCGTCCCTCAACTGGCACATGAAGAAGCACGACGCCGACTCCTTCTACCAGTTCTCCTGCAATATTTGCGGCAAGAAGTTCGAGAAGAAGGACAGCGTCGTGGCCCACAAAGCCAAGAGCCACCCCGAAGTGCTCATAGCCGAAGCGCTGGCTGCCAACGCGGGTGCCCTGATCACCAGCACCGACATCCTGGGCACCAATCCCGAGGCCATCGCGCCGCCCACCGACGGCCAGGGCCTCCCGCTGCTCCCGGACCCCCTGGGCAGTGCCCCCCCAGCAGATTGCCTGCTGCTGAGCCCCGAGGGGATGCCAAAGCCCTACTGCGGCGGGGCAGAGCGCGTGAGCCTGGTGGCCGATGGCAAACTCTTCGTGGGCAGCGGCAGCAGCGCGAACCCAGAGGGGCTGGTCATGAACACGGAGATCCTGGGAGCCAGCACGGAGGTGCTCATCGAAGATTCAGACTCCACTGGACCCTAGTGGCAGGGGGAGCACCTGGGTGCTGGGACAGTTGGGACTCTGTATTTAAAAGGAAAAAAAAAAAAAGAAAAAAAAGAGGAGGCACTTACTGAAAGAGAGGAAAGTTAAACAAAACTTACAATACTAGTAAATAACTGAAGGGTCTGCTCCCCTCCAGCGCGGATCACAGCACATCCTCTTTCTCCCAACCACTTCTCTCTCTCCCACGGCCCCTTTGTGGAAAGGGGCACGTGCTGCCATTACCAGAGCAAGTTGGATTGAGCGACGGATTTCTCCAAGGGAGGGGGCACTGCCGAAACCCTTCGCTCTACCCCAAAGCAGATGCCTTTCTGGCTCCTTGACGTGGCCCCACTGGCAAACTAAAAAAAAAAAAAAAAAAGCGTTGGACGTGCTCTGGAGAAGTTTCTTAGGACTCCCTCTGCCCCTGGTCCCAACTTCTATGCACCGCTGCACTCTGGTCCTTGCAGTGTCCTCCTTCCTCCCGGGGCTGGGAGTTTGGCACTTTAGCCCCTCGGCAGGGTGAGCTGTGAAGCAGAGCACGTCCCGCTCCCACCGCGCTCCCCTGCTCCAGCCCTGGCAGGAAGTGGAGGGAACGCCCTGGCTCATAGATCATGTTTGCTCGGAGAGGCCCGGGGGCTACAGGAGCCCTGCGTGGGAGAGGCAAGGAGGAGCATCCCAGTTTGACGACAGTAATTTGCACTTTGAACATGCTTCGTTTTTGTGTTGTGGTAACGAGATTCCTTATTTATTGATTAAAAAAGGGTCGGTATTTTTTAGTTCTGTTCTTAGGGGGCGGGCGTGGAAGGGGTTCAGGCTGTTTCCCAGTAGGCTCCGGTGCAGGGAGCACGGTGTGCCATCGTAACAGCGGCTGGGAGAGCCGAGGGGAAGGCAGCGCTCTGGAGTCAGATGTGTCTCGCAGCTTTTCCAGAGTAGAGGAGGGAGAGCCCCTGGAGAAGAGCCCTGTGTGCAGTGGGAGTCTCTGCAGCAGCGTGTTAGCAGGAGGATGAGGTGAGTGATGGAACAGCTGGCTGTCGTCTCCCTCCCTCCCAGCTCCGGGTGAGCTCCTTGCATTAAATGCTCTGCAGCCTTTCAGGGAAGGCTGTTGTTGGCCAGGAACTTGTTCTTGTGACCTGGGACAGTCATGAGCTGCTTGCTGCTGGGGGGATGTGGTGCTCCTCATCCGACTCTGCCTCTCCTTTCCAGATCTAGACAAAGGCACAGGAGCAGGGACTGGATATGGTTTTCTCAGGCTTGTTTATCCAAGGCAATAGATTGACGTGGGACTAAGGGGCTGTCAGCTTCTCTCTCTGCCCCCATTGTGGGGGAGGGTGTTGTGTAGCCGTGTTCTCAAAGGTTCTCTCTTCTGCACAGACACCCCTGCTGTCCCTGAAATGTGGCAGGCCAGGTGTTGCCTGCTGGTGTAGTTAGGGCAGCTCTGAGCCCTTCGAAAAGTTTACATAGGATAAGAGGTGTCTGCTATGGAGACTTGGATTTTTTTTTTGCTCTTCTCTGAGACTTTGTGTGGAGATTCAGTGGCCTTGAATTCGTAGTGGTTTTGGAAGAGGTGAAGAATAACCTGGCTTTTTGTTTGTTTGCTTGGTTTTTTTTTTGGTTGGGTTTCTGTGATTGGGAGCAGAGCTGAAGCGTCTTGTCCGAGCACAAGATCAGCTGAGTTAGTCTGTAGCACACAGCAGCTTGGCAAAACCGGGTACCTGGGGTCTAGAAAACCGCAATAAAACATGGAATTTAATTGGAAACTTAACAGGAAACTGACTCTGAACACCCACTCTGTCCCCTGTGCTGCCTGGAAATCCAGCTGTGGCCCAAACACGGTGGCTTTTATTGGGCCGTTTGTCCCGGTTTGGCCCCTCCCTTCCCTCCTCACACGGATACCTTTGTCAGAGCAAGTCGAAACACTTCTGGTGTTGGGGCGGATCGTGGCGGAGCAGCTGGGTGTCCTGTGCCCTGGGCGTGGGCATCCCACGTGCTCACCGTGGCAGCAGCCTGGCTCCCAGGCCTGCCATGGGGTGAGGGCCCAGCACACCTGGTGGTGGGTCCTCTGGGATGGTGCAGGCAGGTCTGCAGTGCAGTGGTGTTTAAACTAAACCAGTTTCTTCAGTTGGGATGATCCAGTTTCTCGCTTGGATCACATTACTGTGATTTCCAGCTGGAGCTGCTTCTCTGCCAGCCCCTGTGCCTGTGGGAGGTGCGGGGTGGGCAGAGCCTTGCACAGAACACTAAGTGGAGAGCCCGGGGATTACTGGTCAAGGGATGGCACTAAAATGCCTTTGGGTCAAAGGCTTGCTCGCCTCTGACTCAGTGCTTGGCACCTGGCTGGGAGCTGAGGGAGGTGGCCTGGTCCTGCAGCCGCCCCGAGCGGAGCAGACTTTGCCACCAGCCACATTTCTGGGATGCAAAATCAAACATCTCCTTTGCTTCCTGGTTGGGACACCTCTGATCCTGCCGCTCCCCGCCTCGTCCTTCCATGACACCTCTCGTAGCTCTCCCTTTTCTTTTTCTGGCCGTGGCCAGGTGTCTGTCTGTCCTCTAACCACAGCCTGCTCGCCCCTGACGCAGGAGAGATGTGTAGCTCCCTTCCCACGCCCCTTTGAAGCCCTAAAACTGACACAGCCCTCCTGCAGCTCCTCCTCCCCTCGATGTCTCTCCTTCACTCGCATGCAGTTTGCTTCAATAAATTATTGTAGTAGTTTGCAATAAACTTTTTTGTATTTTTTTTTCCCCTGTATTTATTTTTTTTTTCTCCTTCCGGGGGAGGGGTTGGAGGGGACACAGGGCCCTTCGACCACTCTTGGGGCTGTGACCGACACGGGCAGCACTTTGGAGGTCAAGGGCTGCTGGGGCCGGGGGCTCCCAAAGCTCAGCAGCACTTTCTGCAGTAGCCAGGGGGTGACAAAGAGGGTGCTGGGGGTATGGGTCCCCCTGACCAGGCACACTGTGGTACTTGTGGGAAGCTGCTTTTCAACTCTTGGGTTTTTTTTCCCCTCTTAATCTGGGTAATACGTAACCAAAATAAACATACTGAGGAAAAACCAACCCAACCCAGTGGGCTGTTTTTGTCTTGGTGCATGCAGCTCATCTGTGGGCTGGCTGGTGTTGCCCTGGGGCGGCTCTTCCCCATCCAACTGGGGGGGTGAGTGAGTGGCTGCTGGTGGCCAGCTGCCAGCTGGGTTTGAGTCATGACTCTGGGCCAGTTTTGGGGGCTCAGAACCAGACCCATTTGATCAGTTTTTGGGCTCCCAAAGAAAGACTCAGGGCTATGTTTGGGGTGCTCAAAATGGGGTTCAGAGCTTAAAAACGGAGACTAAATGCTTCATTTTGCAGTCCTGAAACCAGGCTCGTACATGGCCAATTTTGGGGCTTAGAAACAGCCATTAAATCCTGCTTTCAAGGCTTGAGGCAGAGCAAGTCCCATGTCTTTGGGCTCACAAAGAGAGACCAAGTGATGCATTTTAGGGCCTCAAAAACCAGTGACTAAGTCCTGTGTTTTGGGGCCCTGAAACCAGGGTCACTCAGCTGGTGCTTGGGCTCACAGAGAGAGACCAACTCCTGCACTTTGGGGGCTTTAAGGCAGAGACCGAGTCCTGTGGAGTGACCAGTACTGAAGGTGAGAAATGGAGACTGAGTCCTGCTGGCCTATGTGGCCACATTTAGGGCTGAGAAACAGTGACCGAGTCCTGCATTTTGAGGGCTTGAGCAGAGACCACGTCCTGTCCCGCAGCCCCTCTTTGGGGAAGGTGTCTCTGGGAAAAGGGGGTTAAACCTTTCCCCCTCTGGGAAAGGGGGGTTAAACCTGGGGGACCAGTCCCATGGCTGTGGGGCAGTAAGAGGACTGGAGGTGGCTGGGACAGATCCTTCTGCCAGGGTTTGGGTTGCAGCTCAGTTTTTGGCTGGTGCTGGATCTCCAGCCTGGGGGGGGTCCCCTTGAGCCTCCACTCCTGGCCCTGCTCAGCCCCCGCCGCCTGCCCGGGCTGAGGTGTTGAGCAATGTCCGGGCTTTGCTCGCCTCTTCCCGGCAGTGGTTTCCCGCTCTCTGGCATGAGCCAGAGGGATTAACGTGCCGCTAATCCCACTGTGTGGCTGGGAGGGAGGAGTGGGTCAGCCGGGGCTGGGAGCCTGTTGCTGCCGGGCGAGACGGTTCTGGGCAAAGCACTTGGAGTAGCGATGCGTGGGGGAATCGGGGGAATAATCTGTCGCTGTTGATCCCAGAGGCGGGAATTTGCAGCGTGGTGCCAGGCCCCAGGCACGGAAGAGGGGGAGAGCCGGGCCAGCGGACGTGTGAGCGGAGCTCCCGGCTGGAATGCACCAGCTCAGCAAGGGATTGTCCTGCCTGGGCCAGGCGGGCGCTGTGCCCTGAGCCTGGTGGCCGCAACAGCTGCCCGGACCATGGCGGGAGCAGACAGTCCCTCGGCCGCCCTCCGGCGCCGCGACCTGTGCGCCCGCGGCATCCGCCTGGCCGGGAAGATGCGCTCGGACGTCGTCGACCTCCTGGACGCCTATGTGAGTCTGCCCTGCTCCTTCTGGCTGCTGCAGGGCTGGGAGTGCTGGTGGGGTCTGGGGGGCTCCTGGCAGCTGTGTGGGGCGCGAGGAACCTGTCCCGTGGCAGGGATGGGGGATGAAGCACTGCCGGTTTCTGTGCCTGCCGATGCCTGGGCGAACCTCGGGCACCTGGCCTCGCACTGCCACAAACTCCTCTGGGACTGGGCCCTCTGGAGCAGCACTGGCATGGCTCGGGGCAGGGGGTACCCCCCAAATTGCTCCCACCACCGCTGATCCCCGGTGGGTCTCGCCCCGCAGGTGGAGCGGCAGGGCCTGGACGCCTCGGTCAGCGTGGCGGCGGTGGAGGGGGTGCCGCTGGCGGCGGTGGAGCGCTGGGACGAGCAGACGGGGACCCAGCGGCTGCTGGAGAACCTGGCGGCGTACAGGGCCTTCCGCGGGCTGCTGGCGCAGATGCTGGAGGAGCAGCAGGAGCAGCTGGGTGAGGCCGACACTGCCCTGGGCCAGGCGCTGGCGGCCGTGCTGCTCCAGGTCTCGGCCTTTGCCTACCACCTCGAAGAGCTGCTGCAGCTGGAGAGCCGCGGGCCCCCGAGCGACGAGGAGGACGGGCCGCCCCCCCGGCCTCAGGGCATCTTCGAGCAGAAGCTGCGGGGCCTGGGGGTGCTGCGGGAGCTGGCCCAGTGGGCCGTGAGGTCTGCGCGGGACCTGCGGCAGCTCGCCAAGCCCGGCCCGGGCACCGGCTTGGCCCCCAGCCCGGCCGAGAGCCCGTGAAGGCGTGCGAGGGGCGGGGGGTCTGGGGGTGCCGCTGGGGCACAGTGGGGGGCAGCTGACAGCAAAGGAGGGGAGGTGGATGGGAGGGACCGTGTCATTAGCCCCTGGCCCCCCCGTGCTTTTGGTGCCACTCCCTGTGGGGAAACTGAGGCGCGGGCCACGGTGTACCCCGGAGGGAGTGGGGATCCCCAGGCGGGGCGATCCTCAGTGGTCCTGGGGCTGGCAGTTGGAACTATCCCCTGGGAAGCGGCTTTGCTGCTCACCCCAGGGCCTGGAGGCCGTGACCCTCAGCTGGGGTCCTTTTCTTTGGAATTTGGTCGCTGCCTGGTTCGCTATGGCCACCCTGGGGGCTCTTGCGGATGCGAGGCAGGAGCCAAGGGACCTGGCGAAAGGAGTCTCAGGACCTGCCCCGCAGCTGCAAGAAGCAAGGCTTTACGTCCTGCACATGGACTCTTCTGCCCAGCTTGTGTTGGCTGCTCATTGAATTTCTGCTCTAACTGCTTGGGGGCTTTTTGGGGAGGGGGGGGGAGTGGGGATATGATCAGGAGGGGATTTCTCAACCTCTTGGACCTCATGGTAACGGAGAGGATCTTTTCACCGAAGGCTGTGATTCAGAAGCCCCTCTGCAAGGAGGTTTGTGCCTCCAGGGGTTATTTTAGGACTGGAAATGGCACGGAGAATCAAACAGCCCCAACCACATCGCTCACCCTGTGGAGTGCTGCAGTTTCACAGCTGCCTGAGCAGTGGTTCTCGTGCCGACTGGATATGAGGGCTGCTGGCTGCTGAGTGAATAAAAGGGCTGGGAGATCTGCCAGGGTGATGTACTTCTTGGGGTAGGTGGGACAGGGGACTCAACCTCACCGGAGAGCCTGGGCTGCCCTGTGCCCACACCAGGGAAGGGTCAGTCCTGGTGGGATGAGAGGTCTGAGGGGGACAGGACCCACTGGGAAGCTGTGGCGAAGATGAAGGAGCTGGGGATGAAGGACGTGGTGGTGAGAGGATGAGGAGGTGAGAGGATTGCTAGGGTTGTACCTTGTCCTGGTGCAGCCCTGCCTTCTACCTTGGCCTGTGAGAGGAAAGGCAACAGGGGGGGAGAGGGGGGCCATGGTATGGGGAGGAGGTTGGGGATGTGCCCGGCTGGCCCCGCACAAAGCGGCTTTTGTTGTGGGGGGGGGGGGGACGGCACTGGGCACAGCGCCGGCACCAGGGCCCTGGTGCAGCACCAAGGCCCAGAGCCCATCCCGCCCACCCCACTGGCAGCATCGGGGCACCCGGCGCCACGGGGTCGGGTCCGAGGGTGGTTTGGTGCTGCCTCTTTGCTTATGGGTGGTGTCCACGAGGAAGAATGTGCACCTTCTTCATTGCCACTGACTGACTGCCTGCCCTCAGCTTTGCGGCTCAGACTGGATTATTGGGATGTTTCTGCTTCCCTGCACTCAGGAATAACAATTTCTGGCCACTATTTTTTTCAGGGTTAGCAAAAGCGAGTCCCTTTTCCAACAGGTATTTTTCTCACCCGATGTCCTCTGCTTTGTGCACTTGAAGCCATCTTGCTTTTGCCCCCTTGCACCCTCCTGCTCAGCAATGCTCACGCCCTCCCCACCCACTGCCCCTCACCTTCCCAGAGGTGGGCAGAGGCATCTCGAGTGAACCTTGTGACACCAGCAGGTGGGAACAGACCCCTTTTCTCCCTCAGCAGCAATGGCCGGGTCCGAGGTGACCTTCAGATCCCGGGAGAGCCGGGATCACCCAGCCCTGGCTTGCAACTCGATCCTTCCCCCTCAGCTGCTGGCACTGAGCTGAGCTCGGCACTGCAGTCACTCTCTGGGGGTAGAAGCAGCAACAGGGACGATGATGCTGCTCCAGGGACTTCCCCGTCCTGGGAAACACCTGGGAAACACCGCTTTTGCAACCTTTCTTGCTCCTGCCCTGTTACCCGGCCAGCGGTGCTGGGTGTGTCTGTGTTTGTGGAGCAGCCGCAGCGCTCGGGAATGGCCACCAGAAACAATGGGAAAAAGCAATCCATAATCCAAACCTCTGCACTTGGGCTGAGCAAGAGGCTCCAGCTCTTGGCCTTTCCCTGCCAGCCAGCCCCCACCGTGCCATAGAGAGTCTGAACTGGATGGGATTTAATGCTATTTTTCAGCTGCAGCCCCGAGGGAATCACCAGCGAAGTGATTTGGCGAGAACAGGGGCACCCGACAGCTGAGCTCCCTTAGTGCCAGGAGGCCCTTTGGACTTGCTTTGCCACAGGCTGAAAAGAAGTTGATCTGGGTGGCTGGAAGTGACTGAAGCTGTTTATTTTGGAAACAGAAATGAAGAGTTTAAGAGGAAGATAATCATACCCGTGTGGCTAATGGTGCTGAGGACCCCATGCAATGGCCTGCTGCAAACTGAGGACCCACCAAAACCATCCAAGATTGTGCTTTGGGAAGAGAGAAAGGCTCTGCAGTGCTGGTGTGAACGGGGAAGGGGGGGCAGAGGGCTGCACTCCCAAATTGCAGCAGGGAAGGAGCCACCACAAACAACCTGTGGATGTGTTTAATTTCAAAACAATAAATATTTGGGCTTAACGTGTGGTTGGGCACACTTTGTGGGGTTGGAAAGGTTTCAAGCCGACCGAGGCTGCTCCCTGACCTCAGGCATACCCACTTGGGTGCTGGCATCGGTACTGGGCGAGAATGGATTTGCCCCTTGCCCACCAGGCACTGGAGGCTGGTGGGGCTCAGTTGTGCAGCTCTGGCTCCTGGCTCCCTGATCCTGAGCCGCAGCCAGGGGGGTGGATGTTCACCAACACTTTCCCTTTTAATAGCAGGAAAACCTTTTCCTCCCGCCTGAGTCAGCGGAAAGGATTTCCCCGGGTTTCCCCGCCGTGGCTTTGGCTGCGCTTGTCTCGCCTGAAGGAACAGGTGAAAACGCAGAGGAGGGGCTCCCCTTCCCAGGAAGGGCTGGGAGCCCTCCCTTCTTGCAGGAGAAAGTGCCTCAAGCAGAGCCCTGCGTGAGCTGGGAGAAGGAGAACCCGTGCGGTTCACCTCGTCCTGCCCCACCACAGCGCTCACCAGCTGGCACCGCCGCAGTCAGTCCCCACCTGTTTCTTCCACACTTCTTCCTTCATTTTTTTCCCTCTGTTTGGATCTTGTCTAATGGTTTCTCACCACAAGTGCTGCTGGCAGACGCTCGGCAGGACGGGCAGTGCCTGGGAAACAGGTTTGCCAGGAGAGGAGCCGCACCAGCTCCGAGAGCTCGGCAGTGGTGTGTGTCCCGTGGCCTGGGGATGAGCTGCCCTCCGAGCCAAAGTGGACCGTGGACTGGGGGATTTGCTGTGAAACCTGTGCACATGGAACACACAGATGCAGTTTGTACAGTTCTCCCAAACAAGGAAATGATGGGTGTTTAATATCCAAGGACATTCCATGACTCTGAGCGCAGGAGCGCAAAAGGAGGTGAGACCGGCACTTGCCTGTCACCAACATCCCAGCATTCAGGGCTGCCCTGGGAAGATGGTCGTGGAACAAGCTCAGGAACAATTTTTTTTGGCTGCTCCAGTCACAGAGTTGCCATAGCACAAGGGTACCTCTGTCACAGTGGGAGCAGCACAGGTTTTAATTTGTCCTTCATTGCTTGCCTCAGTTGGAGCAGCAGAATCCTGAAGGATTTGCAGCCTCACCCTGGGCTGAAGCTGTGTGAAATCTCCAGGAAAAGTACTTCTCAGGGAAACTGAGCTGTGGCAGGCAGCTGGGAGAGCTGGGGTGCAGGACCTGGGGTTACAGCCCAGGTGCCCCTTGAGACATGGAGCAATTTTGGGCTTCAAAGCCATTTTTGTACATCATGGGCCACAGGGAAGGGTAGCTCAGGGGGCTGCTCCCTGCAAGCGCTGTGGCCTAGACAGGGAAATGGGAGAAGCTCTTGGACCACGTTTCTCTGTCACAGCACAGGAAGTGGGGTTCATGTAACCCATCAGCACCCCGAGTCCCATCACTGGCAGGTGAGGGCCAGGGGGGACCACAAAGGTGGGAGCACACCAGGGGCTCCCTGGGCTGCAGTCCTGGTTAAAGGTGTGGAAGATACTGGGAGGGGTGCCAGGGATGCGGGGTGGGGGTAGAGGGGGTACAGTGGGGCATCCTGGGGGTGCAGGGTGGGGGTACAGGGACGCAGGAGTGCACAGTGGGGATACAGGGGCCACTGGGAGAGGTCCCAGGGGTGCAGGGTGTGGGTTCATGAACCCAGGGGGTACAGGG